GTTAAGTTTAGGGTTAGGGTTATCGTTAGGTTTAGGGTTAGGTTTAGGGGTAGGGTTAGGTTTAGGATTAGGATTAGCGTTAAGTTTAGGGTTAGGGTTATCGTTAGGTTTAGGGTTAGGTTTAGGGGTAGGGTTAGGTTTAGGATTAGGATTAGCGTTAAGTTTAGGGTTAGGGTTAGCGTTACGTTTAGGATTAGGGTTAGCGTTAGGTTTAGGGTTAGCGTTAGGTTTACAGCGCGCTTCTGTCACCGCGCTGTTGTCGGCGCGATTGCTCATTCATCGGCGCGGTTTAGAACTCGCGGTTTTGTCACCGCGGTTTAGTTGGGCGCGGTTTTGTTGTTTGCCCTTTTGTCGGTGAACCGTATGCAGCTCCACTTGCATGAGTGGTGGGCACTTGTACTCATGTGTGAAGCTTCATTTGTGTGAGTAGTAGGCACGTGTGCCTGTTGCTTATGCAAATGGAGCTGCACGCATGCACCTATGACTCAAGGAAACCATCCCGTCTCCTTATCAGGCCAAGCTGGAAAGGTTGGAGTCTGATGCTTTAAAAGACATAGAGACACGCACCTAATTTTTCTTTCTACCCACACAATCCCTATTGTATAATGCGTTTTCAAATAATCTTTTTATAGAGAGAGAGATAATCATGTTTTGGCACTTTTACTGTCTTTTTTGTGCCAAGCCAACAGATTCTGTCTGCTCTAATCTGTAACTACTTTATTCTCAGTAAAGTATACTTTTTTGTGGGGGGAGGGGGAATGAACCGGGAGCCTTTCTTTGCTAATTAAACTAAATAGATGGATGACATTGATTTAGCCACAAGTACACAGACAGCCCCCCTCTATCTCTCCCCCCGCCATCTCCCATTAATAAAGACAGGGATATCCTTTCCATCTTTCACACATAAGCAGAAATACACAGAAATTTTCTTTCTAGCACATACAATATTGTGGATGGTCCTGATACAAAGAGGTCTCCCGTTTTCAACCATACCTACCACTTCTACCCACATCTCTCTCTCTCAGCCACACTTGGATCAAAACTCTTTTGATCACTTGCAATCTACTCTCACAACGGCACATTTTCTGGCCTGTTCACAAAAAAACCGATCCCCTCTCTCTGGAAGACACGTATTTGATGTACATCTACCCAAATATCCCAAAGCTTTTAGTCCACGGCTGTTAAACTCACGGCCCATGGGCCGGATGCGTCACGCGCTGGCCACACTCATGCCCAGTTTAGTGAAGGGGAAAAATGTCTTGATATGTCACATGACAACGCCATGACGATGCAAGTTTGACAACACTGCTTTAGTCAGTCATACAGATGACCTTCCTATGCTTTTTTCCCTCTACAGGCAATTGCCTTTGTCAGCTACAGATAGACACACAACCTTAGTCTCTTAATTGTACACAAAGCTTCTCTTCCTCTCTCTCAATTATGCACAGAACCCGTCTATCAATGACAGACACTGTTTCTTAAGCAGGTCTCATCATCCTACACAGAGATTCCCACCCACACATACACAGCACTCTTTAATCCTCAACTATTCTTCTTTAGCCACACATCATCTCTACCTCATATCTACTCTCCAAAACTCTCCTTAATGTCTCTCTGGTTCCTCTTTGGATAAGAAGGCATAGCTTTTAGCCACAGAGCCACTCTCCTGTAAAGAACAGGCACTTCTTCAACATACAGATATCTTTTTTCTCTCTTAAATCACTCAGCAGAACACCCCTCCCCCCCAAAAAGTAGAATGCTCTCCCTTCTTCAAATGACCAACCTGTCCTCTTTCTTAACTACATGTATACAATTACAACTTCTTGCTCGACTAAATACATACACAATCACACACCCATCAACAACTACACATTCTCTTTCTCCAACACATCTTATTTGTTTTTTTGTATGATTTCTACTAGTGACTACACAGGATCTTCTAAAGTCACCCAGCATAACAGTAAATAGGACAGATTCCATACTAGCTCTGGGATGTCTGGAAGCCACAAGGTTCTCTAGGTCTCAAGTGAAGAAATGGTTTTAGCTTTAGAAACATTTCCTGTTACTAATACTCTTTAAACAGATACTTCCTCTGAAATGTGTTTTCCTATACAGAGAGATGGATATTCATTCTCTCTTAAACATATAAATTTAGCCTCTCTCAATCTGTAACCATAAATGCATAAATCCTTTTTCTCTTAGTCAACTGTATAAAATCTAACAATGGAAACATACATGCTTTTCTTAAACACTTACACAGATTCATCTCATTGAATTACTGATGCACCAGGAAGGTTTTTCTACAATCTCCATATACCTGATACAAGAAGGCTCAACCAGTAAATTTATCTAAGAAGTTGAACTCACACATAGACATCACCATCAACATCTCCAATAGCTATGATGTCCCGGGAGGGGTGAAAGTCAATGGTATTTGCTGCTGCCTCAAGGAAAATGTCTTCAGGAGTATCATGGAGTCTAGGCTCCAGTCCAAGTTCTTTCTCATCTGAATGTTCCTGGATGGAGTAGACAATAAGATACAATAATCAAATCTTCATAGTAGCTTTATAGTCCTTTCCTAATGTAATTAACATAGTCCGTATAGTTTATATTAATGTTTATTTATTCAGTTCATATCCAACTTTCTCCAGAAGTTAAATTGCTTTCCACTGACGCCTCCTTTTTCTCCCACAAAAGGAATCCTGTCAACCCAAGTCTCCCCAGATTGAATTGAATTAATTGAACTTTATTTGACCAAGTGTGATTCAACACACAATGAATTTGTCTCCGATACAGAAGTGTGCATGCAAATCAACAGAATCATCATTATCATCATCTCAATAAAAGGGGGGAAGAAAGGAAGATAATAATAATGATAGACAATAATACTACAATCAGACTACTACATAGATATTAGACAGTACTGTGAGAATTAGGTATTCAGCAGAGTGGTTGAGGTGGGGGGAACTGTCTCTGAGTCTAGGTATTTTGGCCTGCAATGCCCTGTAGTTCTGTCCTGAGGAGAGGAGTTGAAACAATTTATGTTCAAGATGTGAGGGATCTGCCGATATCTTCTCAGCCCTCCTTATAACCTGCACAATATACAGGTCTTGCGTGGAAGGCAGGATGCTTGCAATTGTTCTTTCTACAGTCTTCGCTAACCATTAGACTCTACCTCTTCTGTTTGATTGCTGTACCAAACCAGATAGTTATAGAAGTACACATTCAAGTCCAATTTCTTAACCACCACTAGACAATTGGCTTTTGAATCCTTCCATCCTTTTTTCCAATATTTCATTAGCCACCATCACTGATTTAGCATTTTTATGAATGTATTAACAAAATCCATATTAATCTTATGGTTATTTTACAGTGCTACAGTGCAGCTCCATAAACACACAGGGAGAGAATAGGGACAGCGATCAATATGTGAGAACAATTCAGCTGATTTACCTGTTTCCGGTAATTTTTACCAATTTTTTTATCAAATGCTCCTAGAACTATGCAACGTTTGAGCTCTTTATACAGATAAATGCTATTCAGTACATTTATACGGGCACACATGCATGTATGCATACATACCAGGGAGGAGGGGACGCAGCTAGAGTAGGGAAGCCTAGAGAGGGAGTCAGTTTCGGTTTGCCTGGAGCAATCTCTTCCGATGCTAGCCTTCTTTTGTACCGCTTTGGTGCCGGGAGCTCCCCGTCTTTCCTACCCGTAAAACTATACTTGGAATTGGGGCTCAGGGCAAAGGGTAATCTATGTCCCATAAAACGCGGCGAAATACCGAAATAACTAATGACTTTCAATAACTCTAAGGCAGNAAAAGAAAGGGAAAACAAGGAGGTGTTACAAAAGGAGGAAGGTATGGCAAATAAAGCAACCCAAACTGTACATTATAACCTAGTAAATGGAATAATAAATGTATAAGAATGATAAATGTAAAGAAGAACAGCAATTATGTGAATGCATACTTAAAATACTATGTAAGAGAATAAAAAAATAAAAAATTCTTTGGAAAGATATGTTAAACCACTTGGCCAAAGGCAAGGTGTTCACCAAACTGGACTTGAGAGAGGTGTATTACCGCATACGAATCAGAGAAGGAGATGAATGGAAGACCGCTTTTAATTGCCCCCTTGGCAGTTTTCAATTCAAAATTATGCCGTTTGGGCTATAAAGGGGCCCCTGCAGTCTTCATGCAGTACATAAAGGAGGTGCTACATGAGCCCCTATACCGCGGAGTGCTCATTTATCTCGATGACATCTTGATATTTTCCAAAACGCTAAGAGAACATATGAACCTGGTACAACAAGTTCTGAAAAAACTTCTAGCCAACAAACTATAAGCAAAGTTGTTGAAGTGTGAATTCCACAAAACCTCTCTGGATTACCTTGGCTATCACATCTCTGACAAGGGGATAGAGATGGATCATTAAAAAGTGAAAGCTGTGTTAGACTGGAAACCTCCAAGGACTCGCGGAAAGCTACAATGCTTTCTTGGATTTGCCAATTTCTACAGGTAATTCATTCCTGTTTTCACGGAGATTGCCCTCCCATTGACTGAACTATTAAAAATGGGGCCTTCCCCAACAAAGCCAAAAGCAAACCAACCCCTGAAGTGGACAATGGACTGTCAAAAAGCCTTTGAGAAATTAAAATGGTTCTTTGCCCAAGAGCCCATACTGCAACACCCCAATCCAGAATAGCAATTCATAATCCAGACAGATGCCAGCAATGTAGCTGTAGAGGCAGTATTGCTGCAAAAGAACAATGAAGGACACATTTTGCCATGCGCTTACGTCTCAAAAAAACCTCACCACTACTGAAAGGAGGTGGGCCATTTGGGAGAAAGAAGCGTATGCGGTCAGGTGGGCCCTGCTCACTTGGAGACATTTCCTGGAATGGGGAAGTGTGCCGTTCGAGGTCTGGACTGACCATAAAAACCTCGAAGCTCTCAAAAGCCCTCGAAGACTGTCCCCAAAGCAAGTTCGCTGGGCACAATACTTCCGAAGATTTAAATTCGAATTGAAACACATCCCTACAGTGAAGAACTTATTGGTGGATGCCTTGTCAAGAAAACCGCAGTACGACAGTAAGAAGGAAGAAGTGGTTCACCCCATCCTTCCTTCTTCCCACCAAAAGGTGGCCCAAGTCACCACCCGAAGCCAGGATAAGCTGATGGTGCTGCTGAAATTGGTGCTGCCAGCAGACCCATAGCTCAACAATAACAAGGACATCCTGATGATGAAAGATGGCTTAGCCTTAGGCTGGAAGTTCTACAGTGAAGCTATGAGGCGGATCTAGGAGGCCATTTTGGATTCTTAAAAACGCTCCACCTCACCAGGCACCAATTTTGGTGGCCAAATATGAAATAGGATTACATAAAAAGCTCCATTTGCGCGACCATGAAAATAGGGCCATGGAAGCCCCATGGACTATTACAATGGGTGGCCATTCCTAGCTGATCATGGGATGAGATAGCAATGGACTTCATTGTCAAGCTCCCAGACAGCAGCAGAAATAGTGTAATCTGGACAGTTATTGATCTGTTTTCCAAGCAGGCCCATTTCATTGCTTGTTCAGGATTACCGTCCACAAAGAAATTAGCTAAAATGTTTGTTAAACACATTTACCACCTGCATGGAGTGTCCAGGAGAATCATTTCAGACGACAGAGTTAAGTTCACTGCCAAGTTCTGGAGACAGTTCCTGAGGTCCATTGGGTTCACACAAGGACTGAGCTCAGCATTTCATCTGAGCATGAAAGGAGCAGCGGAAAGGGCCAATGCGATGGTGGAACAATACATCCGTTGTTATGTGGACTATCAACAAGAACTGGTCAGATTTGCTGCCGTTCACCGAAGTAGCATAAAATAACGCGGTCCACAGCAGTACTGGATTAAATCCTTTTCAAATTACCAGGGACATGGAATTTGTTCCCTGCCTGAACTGCCTAAGGCAGTGGTCCCCAACCTTTTTATCGCCGCGGACCAGTCAGCCTTTGATAATTTTACNGAGCAAACCGGAAGTCCCAGTTTGCTCGTAGGGCTGGTTTAAGCCCACTGGAGGCTTCAGGGAAGCCTCCTGAAGGTCCCTAAAGCCTCCAAACAACTTAAACTGACACTACGAGCAAACCAGAAATCTGTTCCCAAACTTCCAGTTGGCCCATAGGGCCGTTTCTTTGCGCTCCAGAGGCTTCAAGGAAGCTCCTGAAGCCTCCGGAGGGCCTTTGGGGCGGCGGGGAGGCTCTTTTTGCAACCTAAGAAAGCTGATCCCCAACCTAAGGAGATGAAAAGTCCAACCGATGGGGAAACTCCTTCCAACTTGGAGGATAGTGAAGAGCACCCGATGGTGAGTGCACCCATCCATCCCTTTGCCATCAAAGCCAAACTCCAAGTACCCGAAACGAGGGTGCAAGGGGAAGTTGAGGCAATCATGGACACCGGCTGCACCCAATGCTTAATCAGCATGTCGATTGTAGAGTAACTAGCCATACACACAAGACTCCTAGCCCATCCTATTCCGTTTGAGCAGGTAGATGGAATGCTAATTGGGGGATGCCAGCCATGCTAATTACCAAATTGGTAAAGTTACACATAGGCCGCCACTATGAGTTCCTCAGATTCATCATGGCTCCAAAAATGCAGGAATCAATTATCTTGCGGCTCGCATGGCTGGACAAATGGGCACCTAAAATAAAATGGGAGGACGGTGTTCAGAAATTGACTATCGGCCTTGGGCCGTTACCACCGGTGCAGCCAGAGGGCCACCCAAGGGACGATTGAACCCAAGAAAGCAGACCACCCAGAGCCTGCAGCCCATGCAGCAGACACAAAACCCCCAGGGATCCAGCAAATACCAAAAGACTACTGGGACTTGGCGGGGGTATTCAGTGAGGAAGATTGCAACTATCTTCCCCCTCATCGGCCCACCGATTGCGCAATAGAATTCATACCTGGGCTACCCTACCAAAACTAAAAATGTACTCAATGACTCTCACAGAAATGGTAGAATTGAGGAAGTACATTGACATCAATTTGAAATGGGGCTTTATTGAACCAGCTAAGTTGGAAGTGGTGGCCCCAGTGCTCTTCAAAAAGAAGAAAGATGGCGATAGTGTATGTGGGGTTTGAATGCCATATGTGTAAAGAACACCTACCCTCTACCCCTCATGAAAAATATGTTGAACCAGAGGGGTGTGGCCCGCATCCCAGCAACAGGACGTGTTCTCCAGAGGGCTCGCTGAAGAACTATCAGATTCCTGTTGTATCGGGGAGGGGTGACCTATAACCCCACCCTAGCTGTCCTGGAGAGACAGTGAAGAGGGGGGGCGCAAGTGGGTGTGGTTGGGGAACCCGCAACTCCCCTAAAACATCTGCATTTGCCCCTGGACCAAAAGCAGGAAAAGTAGCCAACGTGAGCTATCGCAGTTGGAAGGTCAGACAAAGCACGGGAATCAGTGTGGACAGCATTTGGGTGAGATAATAAGAGTGCTTGAAAGTGCAACATTTCTGTAAATTAACTTTTTAACCTCCGGTTAAAACTTTTTAAAGAGAAAGTAGCAGAAGAAAGGGGGGGAGTGGACGTTACAAAGCTCTCCCTCCCTCAGGCCAGCAGCGAACAGACGGAGCCATTAGATAGAAGAAAGGAAGTGATAGATCTTGAGAATTGCTTAAGGATGTTAGAAAACGAATCGGATGCCCTTGGTGTTTAACTTTCACTCTATGCCTATGATTTTCCTAGTAACTTGGTAACTTTTAAGAATTGCTGAGATTTGCTTTCGAAGGCAGGAACTTAAAAGAAAATATGTTGAATAAATTGTCTGTATTGCTGTCTAGTAGCAAACAGTACCTGGCAAAAGCTGCTTAAGAAAAGTTGACCTTGAAACATTGTGGATAATAACAAACTGATAAAAGTCCTCTAGAAGAAATAAATAAATAAGAAATAAGACCAGCTGTGTAAATATTGCCTTTCCTTCCCTTGCTACATTATAATGGGCTGCTGAGACTGCCTTCCTGATAGTGTATGTGTCAGCGTTCCAAATATCATCCAGAAATAAATCAGAGTCCAAGGTAGAACTATCCTTAAACTTCCAATTTAATAAGAGAGACATGTTGGTACATCTGTGGCAATCCCGAATCTGAAAGCTTCCTGGGTTACCACCCAGTTNGGGACCTGCGAACGCCTGCGCAGCAAAAAGAGGCGGAGCGAGGACTTTTCCTCTGGAAGCCCAGGAGATTGAAAAGAGAAAGTGACGTGCTTATTATTGAATTGCAGGTTGGCCTTTTGTAGTTATTTTGTGTGCCGGAGTAGCCATAGAGTATGTACAGTGTCGGTGTTGCTTATTGGGCCGCATGGACCCAACCATCAGAAAAAGTAAGAAACGATTAAAAACTGGAAGGAGGGTTTTTATTTAATCCCCTAATGCCACCCTTATCAAGAATGTTGACTACTAAATCTGTAGGCTTTGATCTTTCCTTTCCTGGGTCGGAGCAGAGGACTTTAAAAGGCAAACAAACTCATCTTCCTGGAGAAATTAAAAAACGGGAGTCCCAAAGGGCTTTTTCAAGAGGCAACTGGATTTCCTGGTCTTTCCTTTGAAGACGTTTCTCTTCTCATCCAAAAAGCTTCTGAAAAACCAGAACGTCCAGTTGCCTCTTGAAAAAGCACCTTTGGGACAACCATGACTTGGATGACTCAGAATCTCATAGACAAAGAAATGGAAGCTTTTCCTTATACCTGTGGTTTGCAAAGCTCCTTCATTCTCACCTAACAAAGATTGAAATTCAAAGGCAAAT